AACATTTGAAACCTTCAAGTGTTACTTTGCATTAAGATTTATAGTCATACATTAGAAAACATAAAGTAATTCCTAACATATAAGTACTAGTTGAGTTGACCAGTTGCCCCGTTGGCCTTGACTTGACTTGACTTTGACTTGACCAGAAACTTGCCGGTTGTCACATCATCCCCCGCTTGAGGGAATTTCGTCCCGAAATTTCTGCTTTGAAGTAGACTTCAAGGTTTAGCAAATAGGTGGGGGGTACTTCTGCAGCATTTGATCTTCACGTTCCCATGTGAATTCAGGCCCGCGTTTGGCATTCCAACGAAATTTTACAATTGGGATGCGACTTTGCTTGGTACTCTTCACTTCTCTGTCCACGATTTCGATTGGTTCTTCAACGAACAAAAGATTCTCGTTTATCTCAATCTCTTCTAGCGGAATAACAAAGGTTTCATCCGATAAGCACTTTTTCAAGTTCGAAACATGAAACACGGGGTGCACGTTGCTGAGCTCGGAGGGTAGTTGCAACTTATAGGCCACTGGACCAATTCGGGCAAGAATCTCGAATTGTCCGATGTATCGCGGGTTTAACTTTCCTCGTTTCCCGAAGCGGATCGTCCCTTTCCAGGGAGAGACTTTTAGTAACACGCGGTCTCCCACTTGGAACTCCAATGGCTTTCGCCTTTTGTCCGTATAGCTTTTCTGTCTATCCCGGGACGCTTGGAGTCGTGACTTGATTTGGACGATTTTCTCGGTTTTTTCCCGGATGATCTCTGGCCCTGTGAGGGTGCTAGCCGGTAGTTGTCCTCTTGCTAACTGGGTGTCACCCACCTCGGCCCAACAAAGGGGCGATCTGCACTTCCGACCATACAAGGCCTCGAAAGGGGCGACTCCTATGCTGGTGTGGTAGCTGTTGTTATATGAGAATTCAACTAGGGGCAGGTGGTTATTCCAGGCTTTGCCAAAATCTATTACACATGCTCAAAGCATGTCTTCTAGAGTCTGAATGGTTCGCTCGCTTTGGCCATCTGTCTGGGGGTGGTAGGCTGTGCTCATATCTAGTCGGGTTCCCAATGCTTTCTGGAGCGACTGCCAAAAACGAGAGGTGAATCTACTATCCCGATCCGAGATAATAGATATGGGGACTCCATGCAGTCTCATCATCTCTTTCAGGTATATCCGTGTGAGCCTTTCCATTTTGTACGTCTCCTTTATTGGCAGGAAATGGGCGGATTTTGTTAGTCGGTCAACGATCACCCAGATAGCATCCAGACTGTCTGCCGTCTTGGGTAATTTGGTTATAAAATCCATCGTTATCCTCTCCCATTTCCACTCAGGTATTTCGGGTTGCTGAAGTAGACCCGAGGGCTTCTGATACTCCACTTTAACCTTGGCACACATGAGACACTTGCCTACGTAAGTAGCAATCTCCTCTTTCATGTTCGGCCACCAATAATGTTGTTTGATATCCAGGTACATCTTATCGGAACCCGGATGATTAGAGTACCTGGTCTTGTGAGCCTCATTCATTATCACGTCTCGAAATCCACCAAACCTCGGTATCCAGATTCGGTCCATAAGATAATAGGCTCCATCCTCTTTAACCGTCAGATTCTTTTCCATTCCGTGCAATGCCTCATTAGTGACGTTTTCCGGCTTCAAGGCTTCGTGCTGAGCCTCTTTGATTTGTGAGGATAGATGGGAATGGACGGTCATTGTCAACGTCTTTACTCGGCGACCCGAGTACTCCTTTCGGCTTAAGGCATCGGCTACCACATTTGCTCCTGGATGGTACTTGATTCGCACTCGTAGTCATTTAGCAGTTCGACCCATCTTCGTTGTCTCATGTTCAACTCCTTTTGATTCAGGATGTGCTGGAGGCTCTTGTGGTCTGTGAAAATGGTGCACTTTGTACTGTATAGCTAGTGCCTCCAAATCTTCAATGCGAAGACCATAACTCCCAGCTCGAGGTCGTGGGTGGTGTAGTTTACTTCGTGGGTCTTTAGTTGCCTTGACGCGTAAGCTATCACTTTTCCTCGTTGCATAAGCACACAACCT